AAGTGCTGGTTCCTTCACTGTCTCTTCAAACCCAGTGATTACCCTGACTTTCCCCTAAAAGTAAGAGACAGTTTCCAGGGACTACTTTACTCAAGGGTTCTATAGAATAGGTGCTTCTATTTGCATAGCGTGTTTAAAATCATCCAGCTGTGTTAGGTTAGGTAAACCACTTTTTAAAAAGTAGACCCATGAGGACACCATATTAAGCCAAAGATCTTGGAGTGGGTCTACCTATAAAAAGAAAATGCCCAAATCTCACCAGATTGTTGTTGATTTTGAGTTGTAGACATCCTGCTTCCTTTGTCTGTGTCACCAGCCACTCATTCCCCTTCTTAATGAAAACAAGAGGGAGTGATTATACCTCCTGGGGCTGTGCCATTTATGCTGTCTGAAAGGCACTTAAACGAGTGGCACATTATCTCACACATCTGGAGTTTACCAAATTAGCCAATTATGCTGGAGCTCATAAAACGAGGCCTTAAATGTCATTTAACTAGAAAATATTATAATCACCAAGTGGTCTGATTGTAAGATGATACTCGGGGCAGCATCAGTGGTTACAGAAAACAAATCGTGAAACAAAACACAGTTCAAATGCCCCCCAAATACAACCACATATTTTCTACAGTAATACTTTCTGAGGAATACCATATTTCTGAAGGCACCAGCAATCAACATGTTTCTCATTTGAAACTAAGTTTAATCTGACCTAGTTGTTTCCTAGTTATTTGCCTCAGGCAAACCAATACCCAAGAATTTTTCTTGTAAGAAAAGGAAGGAACATACAAGATGAAAGTAGAGCAATGGTAAAGCATAAACTTATCAGAGATATGGAGCTGTCTGTAAGGGCCATGAGGGAATTAAGAATCTTGAGTTGTCAGAAAAGTGTTTCAGAATTGGCAAGATTTGATTGACTGAATGCACACTGGTCTCCTAGAGCTTTTATACTTGACTTAAGACACAAAAGCTGCTTTACATGGTTATGTGATTTGAAGGTGAGATTACCAAAAGTTTTATAATAGCTATTTAGAACTTAGGAGACAAATAAAACTTTGGGGCTTAAACAGCCACTGCTTCCATATTGTCTTCCTTTCATTCAATAATTAATGAAATTTAGCGTATGTGACATGTTAAAATGGAAAAAAAAAATGGTATGACACTAATACCTGTGTGACTTTAGGCACATTGTGTAACTTCTTATTTCTCTTCAGTTACCTTATACAAAATACATAATCTGTGTTGTACTGACCATAATACATGAAAAAGTCCCTCATACATTGCCTGGTACACCGAGAAAGATAAATATTAGTTTTATGTCTTTCTTTCCTATGTCACCAGAATATCTTAAGTTCGGCTTAACTCTTTTTCTCCTTATTTGAGGAAGAGTGACTAGTAGGTGCTTTCAGAGGAGGAAGACTAAGGGGTGGGTGGTCCTGGTTTTTATTAGCGTCATTTGTAATCTACTCACTGATTGTTGAACATCTCAATCACTCTCTTGAAAGGAATGACAAGTACAAAAGAGACTAGAAAAACTTTCTGGAGATACTCTGAAGCAAGAGGAAGTGAGGCATGGTATATGAACAAATGGTAAATGGAGATACCAGGCACTGTCTGCCTAGAGAATTTACAAAATGAAACTTACGGGTTTGAGAGGCCCTAATCAACTAAGCTATATCTTAATGTCTTTTGGGCTCACTATTATGGAAGAGGGAATTGTTAGTTTATTTTACCAAACAAGAGAAAGATGAAGAATCACAGTGAAAATGGAGGCATTCTCAATAGTGACAGTGTCTTTCCTCTGAGTTCTCCTTTCTCTGTTGAGGAAACAGTGATGGTCTGTTTCCATATAACAGAAATTCCTATTCAGAATTTGGAAGAATTTTTTAAAATGTAATTTCATCTCTGCAAAACTGGGTAGAGAAACTTTGTCTTTAATAAAAATGAAATGGATCTATGCTTTAAAGAAGAAAAATAATTTTAAAAGAAGCAAAAGGATTTGGGGGTCTTGTGATTGAGTTATTGTCCTTGGAAAACATTTGAATTCTGGGCAAAGGTGGGGAACTGCATCTCTAAGATGCTGAAGCATACCATTTCACTTTCTTAAAGCAGGAAAATGGGAGAGCTGTGCAGATTCTAAGGTCACTAACAGACCTTAAGGTGTTTAAATGACAAGAAGGACTAGCTTTCAAAAAAAACCCTTACCTTGAAGGAGACAGGAAAAGCTAGAAGGGGTGAATTCTCCTAGTGATGCTAATCATCAAACTAACATGATCTCCCTGCAAAGACCAGACTGACTCTATGCACCTGAGTGAGAGAAACTTTGAAAGCAAAGTGCACTCCAAGAGCTAAATAAGAAAATTAAATGGAACTGCTTTCACTGGGGAAAAAAATTCAAAGCAGCATGTGTTAAAAGGTTTTCTTTCTTTTCTTCTTCTTTTTCTAACCTAAGGCTACGAAAAGCTCTTGCTCTGTAACAAAAATAACGGGCAGCTTTTTCTTTTGTATTTTTACAAATATTTCCATCTCTAAAACTGGGGTTCTCTGGTTTTTGGCTAAAAATATGTCCAGATCTAAAGACATTACAGAAGGAATGTCAATTTGCTCTAGAAGCAATTATATATACAGACTAGGAAAAGACCAATTTTACTATACAAGGACCACACAAACTGTATGTTTGTTATATTACTTGATATCAAAGGAGAAACATCAAATTTTTCCTAGAACACACATGGAATGAAGAGCCTGACTAAGAACTCCCACATCCAATTCAGTGATATCTGTTACAGCTTACAGAACTTGGCAGTGCTGACATAATTGTTTTAATGGAAAGGGACACTTATATTGACTACATAATGCACTGGGTGTTTTTTTTACTTTATATTTTGGGTAACATGGACACAATTTTGACCCAGTGTTTTTTTTTTTTAAAGATTTATTTATTTATGCATACAAGAGCTGGGGTACGGGTCAGAGATGCAGGGGGCGAGAGGATCCACCAGAGACAGAGTGGGGAACAGAACAGGCAGACTGACTGAAATACGTTGCTGAGGGGAGCAGCGGACAAGTCAGGAGAGGTTTACCTCGCCATGTGGGTTGCTCCCTGGCCGGCTGGGGATCCAACTCTTGCTGCAGTGGCTGTGGGTTGCTTCATAGTGCAGTGCTTAACCCCTTGCGCCACTAGGGAGGCCCTGATCCCAGTGTTCATAAATGCAGGTATATAACCAATGTAGGCACTTAAGTACCACATCACCAGAGTAATGGCCAGAATTTGCTGAGCCTTTGTCACGAGTGTGTGTGTGTGTGTGTGTGTGTGTGTGTGTGTATAAGAAAATAAAGTTAACCTAAGAGAAATGGGCAAAGGACACAAATAAACAATTCATGAATGAAATGATACGTAATGATATAAAAGTATGGTCAATCCCATTAGAGCCAAAAGGATACTAACACAGTTTTATTTTTCACCTATTACATTATAAACAGGAGATGCATATGACTGACAGTTACAAGAAATCATAATCAGTAATGTTTGAGGGGTTGTGGGGAATGAGAACTCTTAAACATTAAGGGTATAATATCAGTATATACTTCTTGGAAGATTATTTTCCTACTCTTATATAAAAAGTACCTACCACTAAATTCCCTAAACCCATAGCTAGCTACACTGAAACACACACACACACACACACACACACACACACACACACATGTGCAAAAATAATAGCATGAGAATGAATATAGCATGAATAACATAGCATGAATATTAGCATGCGAATATTAATTAATTAATGTGGATTATTTACTATGCTGTTGTCAAAAATAATATACCTTCATTTGAGCTTCCGTGGTGGCCCAGGGGTTAAGTCTCAGCGCTATCACCACAACAGCCTGAGTTCGATCCCCAGGCAGGGAGCTGACCCACATGGCACAGCAGACCTCTCCTGTCTCACTCAGTGCTCCCCTCAGCAGTGTATTTCAATAGATCTGCCATTTCTGCTCCCCACTCTGTCTGTGATGAATCTTCTCACCCCTGTACCTCTGACCTACACTCAAGTTCCTCTACACATAAATAAATAAATAAATAAATAAATAAATCTTTTTTTTAAGACTATATCTGCATGGAACAATATTCATGATACATGTTTGACTTAAGCAATTAGCAAAGTAGTAATACTATACAGTACAGTATATAATCTGTCAGAAGGGGTAGTGGTTAGATCTTCATGGACTAGGGGTCAAATAGATGTGAAATGGAGTTCCAATTTAATTACCTACGAAATATGTAAAACATACTAACTTTACTGAATCTGGGTTTCTTTATCTGTCCAAATGGAACGGATTCTAACAGAAGATGCCTCACAGAGATATAAGAATTCCTCATACACAGTAGAGCTAAATGCATGGTATTATTTTTGTATAATTATTATTTTCAACCAATTTTCTTATGAAATCAGCCTCAAAAAAGCAAACCTGATATCCTTTGGAAAATTATGCTGGATAATATCTTTAACCGAATCTATACATTAAAGACAATTTTAACTAATCAAAATATTCTATTAACCAGGTCACTTAACAGATAGGACGATTAATTTGACATGTCAAATTTTGATATAGAACTGTTTTGACTGAATAATCATAGAATACAATGAAAAAAAGAAATACATTTAGGCATTATATTTAAGTACCAAAATAACTATTATATTTAGGCAATCCTAATTATGAGAACCTCAAAAAGTCCTTAATGGCACATATTAAAAACTAACCTCAGGTCATCAATTAATTATAATAATATTAATATTTTTGTGGTAGTTATTATTGTATTTATATTTAGTTTTCACTTGGGTTATTAGGGAAAACACACAAAAAGTAGGACACTACCCTTTAAAAGATTCTCCCCTATAAAGATAGGAAAATAAGCCATTCAAACTGAGGACATAAGTTATGTAGTGATAAATTGAAACTCCTATACAGCATAGAATCTGTACAGGAAGCACCATACATACCCTTCTGTGCGGAAAATCATTCGAAAGCTGTCTCCTAAGCTTTTATAACTATGTGGATCAGTTGCACGTCTCTGGATCTGGAATCTAGAAACAGAATCAAACAAACCAAAAATATCCAAGTTAAATAGTTTTTCTCATTTTTCAAAGTCTTAGGAAACTCAGCTTTTACAGATTAATCTAAAATATTTTGGGTCTTGCTATATATTTTATTGATTTATTTGCTTTATATAATCTTTACCTTATTTTGTGGCCTTAAAATCATGACATTTCTCTGTACTTTAAGTGAAACTGTAGAAAAGTTTTTTTTGTTTTTTTTTTCCAATCTGTTTCTTAACCAGGCAGATGCACCCTGGGGCATTTATATTTTTTTTCTTTCGTGAAAAGCATACACAGATGTCAAAGATTGTTTTAACATATAATTCGGAAATCTGAAGATGCATATGAAACAAATAAGTAGCTCTATTTCTTATCTTAATTAGTGTTCCTTGATGGTAATTTAATACAAAGGTTAAGAATACAGAGCAGCTAATATGGCCTAACTTTGATCCTGATTATGACTTTGGAATTCATTCTGGCAGACAGAAGCCTGCGCTTAGAACAAGAGTTAGAGTTGTATGGCTGAATGGCCGGTGACCAGGACTTATCATGGACAGAGTTGGTTTTTGTGGGTGTTTAGGCCACTGAACCTTCACAGAAGCAAGGTGCTCTGCATAGAGTTGGTGCTGAATAAAATGCATCCCACTCCAGAAAGCTCGATTTTTCTTTTTTCTTTTGGGTATGATCATGCATTTCAGAGCACCTTCAAAATGTGGAAGTTTCCATTGTATAGGTCTTAACTTTGGATTTTGAATTTTGCCCTGGGGTTTTTCTCCTAAAGATATTTATGACAGGTACTCTCATTCCCCCTACATCTCATTTGGTCTCTATTTTTGCTTTCTTTAGTCTGTCTATATCAGTACAGCTAGCTCATTTACACTGCTCTAGATCCAGGGGAACACTGGATGTGTGTGAGACCACTGGATCAGAAGACTCAGTAAGCAGATATTTGTTTAAAATCAAGAATATGACTTGATGGTCAGGTGGATGGACACTATTTGTTGTTTTTGAACTCAGTGCATGTAGATCAGATAGCTTGGTATTTACAAAACAAATGAGTTAACTCTAAGCACAAAATGTACAATAGGAAATCTATATGTAGGTTTATATACAAATAACTGAGAGCAGCAAAATATGATTCTTCAAAAAAAGCATCTCCATCTCTGTATTTGCTTATTTATAAGCTACAGTCATTGTTCAGTATGAAACTTCTTAAGTCTAATTGGGAAATTTAAAACTCTAACTGTTCTTTTAAGAAAAATGATTTAAAATTGTAATACTTTTACAATTGTAATTACATGCTCATACATATTTCTCATAATGTCTATAAGAATTTCCATTAAAATCATTTGCCTTTATCAATTCCTTTCTGGATTGCTAAGTATTTTTAAAAACGTTTCCCATATTATATAAGATGCTACTGGTTTTACAAAAATCCAGGGCATTACCATTACTCTCAAGAAATACAATAAATATAAAACATGAGAAAAAAATAATTAACAACATGAGGAAGAATATCCAAAATGCCTAGTAGCACCAGTCCCAAGTTGCCCAGGTGTTTATCAGGGGAGCAATTACTGTTTTCTGTGGAGGCTCAGGAAGGACTTCAGGAAGGAGAAGGGATTTAAGTTGGTCCTTGTGGGATTCAGAGAGGTAAAAAGAGTTAGCCAGGGGGAGCACTCCAGGTGGGGAGAAAGGAAGGCCAGTTAGGGGAAGCTGCCCTTTCAAGAGAAGTGAGAGGAAACACTCCTCCCTCCAGCCCTCCCACTCCCAATAATCTTTGCTGAGTTTCCTTCAGGACAGATGTCACAGCTGTCTGTTGGAGGACTCAGCTGCTCAGGGTGGGTGGAGACCCAACCTGGTTGGAGGAGGGTATTTATGTCACAGATAAGTCAAAGTCTAATATAGAGCATTTGACCCTTTCCTGCTCCTCAGCTGAGCATTTCCACTAATTTTGGTTGGCGAGTCTCACAGGTAAGTGGGCCTAGAAGATTCTGAAAGAGGCAGGAGAGGGACCAACCCTAGTTCCTCGTTTACTACCTGGGTTAGAGACATAAGCTCTGGCGATGATGTCTGCCTGCTCAGGTAGTACCAAGGTGGGTCTTCTGTCAGCTCACACAAAGATGCACACAGAGTACAGTTTTTTCATAATTAACTAGTTCTGACTACTGGGAGTCTAGGAACTTCCTTCACTAATTGCAATTTCTTTTTTCAAAATCCAGCAGATAAAGTTTTCATTCTTTTTCAGTTAATGTGTCCTGAACACTATGCATTAGGTACTCCACTGTTCAGGGTGTTATAAAGAAATAAAATATAACCCACCCCTTTATAAATATATACAGTTAGGTGAAGGAGATGTACAAATAGATGATTACCATATGCAAAAAATATTTTGGAATACTATTTCAGAGGATCATATGTCAGCCAATGAGTTTTACTGACACCGAATAAACACTAGTTTCACTCTTATTGGAGATGATCTCTGTCACGGACTGTGGCCGGCAGAGAAGAGTACTTTGCAGAGAGAGACACTGGAGGGAAGACAAAGGAAGGATATCTTTGGGCTAAATATCTGTGATTAAATGCTATCCACCCATTTAGAACAGGCAACATAGGCAGTCTGTGGAATCCTTGAGGAGTGTTCCATTTGGAAACTGTCTGATGAGTGACGCTGTGTTAATTACAAACAGGAGTGGCAGCTTCAAAATGACATTAAATGAGCTGTGTTGCATTGCAGAGCAATGCAAAAGGATGAGCAGGCATAGTAAACACTAATTCCTCTGTAAAGCCTCCCCACTACTCTTTATTATGCTAAAGCATTTGGAGGTCCCATTAAACAGGCTAAGGCAAGTACAGTTGTCTCTTACACGATGCATCTGACACATGGCATGTCCACACTTTGCAGAGAAAGTACATGCAGTATTTAGTTGTACTACACATGACTTATTCTGATCACAGAGTTATCAGTTCTTTTAAGGAATCTGTTTCAAGTTGATATAATTATAGTGTATTTTGGTTAATCATGTAAAACAGCAATTTCCTTCTTCCTCTCCACTGCATTTCAGCAACTTAAAAGGTTTCTCTCTTGGACTAGAGCTTTACATCAGCATTTTCCAAGCTGCATTCTGTTCTTACAAATTCTCTATATGCGCTGGGAGACAATTTTCCAGTTACGTAATACAACTCTTTGTAAAATTACAAAGGCTAAGCCACACTACTCTTGATTGTGTTTAGAAGAAAAGGTTGGACCTTTCCATTGTCCTAATAAAAGCAACTTAGACACATCTGGAATCTCCATCTGAGTAACTTCTTTTATTAGAATGAAATCTTGCTGCCAAACTGGCAAATTGGACAATGGAGTAATACTTGAGAAATATTCAGGGCCTAACATCCATTCAAAGTGAAATACATAGGAAACAGTATCACTCAAGCCCTGTGCTTCATTGCCCAGGAGTCAGCGATCCCATCTACCGAGGTACCAGGGAGCACTTCTACCAAAGGGAAAGACAACCTACCATGTTCTCTGTGCCATATACATGAACTACCAGAGTCAGGAGGATAGCATTTGCAAGCGATCAAGCCCATTTTTAAAAGTCAAAGGAAGTTCTCACCAAAACATTTTTCTCTAGACTTGTTAAGAACCATGACATTTCCCACTGATTTAATTGTGTGCTCAGTCATTGATTCCAAATTTTAAAGTAGTCTGTGGCTGATTCTCAGCATAGTTACCAATGGCACTGGAGGCATTCAGATTGTCAGAGCTCTTCATAAGATAGGGCCATAAAAAAAAGTGTGCAAGAAATAAAACAACTTTAATACTTTGAGATTATTTGAAAATTCCAAAATTTAGGCAATGTCTTTGTTTCTAAAGTAATATCTCTATAGATTTCCCTTGCTATCTTGAGATCATTTCTATTTGGTATAATTTGGTAAGACTATTTTTTAGGCTGGGAATGCTAAAAATTTTTCCATATAAATTACTGGTAATAATATTCCCAGGACCGTCAAAAGACCTACCAGTTCATACCATATTGGAACATTAATGCTATTTTCAAATAGCAGGAGAAACCTGTGCCATCTTCTTAAAAATACTGATGGCCAGTGGAGTCTATTTTGGGACTAGAGGCTTCAGGACACACACACAAACACACAAGTGGATATAGATGCATATATACATATATATCTAATATATTACTATAAAGGTCAGCAATTGAGTTATAAGGAATCAAATTGGGGTAGGTGATGAGGGTTGTCCTGAAGCTACGTATGTGCAACACAAACTCTCTTATTTAGTTAGAATGTATAATTATTTGTGGTGTTTTAAGGGAGAAAATCTATGGAGATTTTGGGGGTGGGATGGGGAGAAAAGCCATCAAACCATCTCTTTGGTATCGCTACTACTTCTAAACAAGACAGTGAGTCAGGGGAAAGTGCCTTGTAGCATCATCTCCAGGTCATTTTCCAGTTCAATACTGTTGTACTCACCCCTGCTTTCCCCAAGTCAACCCTCTTCCAGAAAAGCGTTCATACTAGTCATGGATCCTTACTGTGGCTTGTATGTTGATACACTGTCTCTGAACTTGCCCCCTGCTGAAGGGATTCCAGCTATCAAGGAGAGGCTAGGAAGACTTGGTGTGGTTTAGGCTGGGTTTATGTGGCTCTTACCACCAAATACTCCCCTAAGTGAACCTCTTTTTCCTGGGTAGAATTTTATGCTATGTTATACACGAGGCCACATAAAAATTACACCTTTGTGTCAGAGGAGTTGAGGCATATTGGGGAAATGAGACACAGACTAGGAGTCACCAGATATAATCCCAGTGTTGCCAGTGATAAATAGTATAAATGGGTGAGATTTGTAATTTAATCCCTCTTTGCTTTTCTCCTCAGGAGTAAAATGGAAGAGCAGACATGATACTTTGTTGAAGGGACAGTGATACACAGACTTAATATTTGATTTTAGCCATCAGAGAGAAGAGACATCTCAT